GGCGGATGGTTTCATCTGCAGGCTCGTCGCCGCAGCGGGGTTTGGAGGAGATCGTCCCCGCGAGCAACTTGGCAGGCGGGCGCCAGGCGCGAGGCTGTGACAATGCTGACCTGCCAAAATAGGGAGGAAAAGAGAAAAGAGAGACCTGTGCGATTCTCCTTAGGACAGCGGGTGTTGGTTTCTCTAATATTAGAGCAAGCAGCAAGTGCTTCACAGCTTTCTGTCTGGGAAGGTCAAGCAACTAGGACTAGTGGGCTCTCAAAAGAGAGATATCAAGGAAGTCTTTCTTCTTCCGTCTTTCCTTCCTGGCTATTAAATATTGCTCAGCTAGGAGCTGAGGTTCAGTAGAAGGAGAGGCCTTTCTCTGGGAGTCACCTTGATGTCTGCCCTCCAGAGAGCTGCCGGGTTTTAGACGCAGCGGATGAGTCAAGAAACGGGAGCTTGAGGTGCACGGGGAGGTTGTCGGGAAGAGTTTTTTTTTCTCAATCCTCCCGCAACTGGCGGTCATGAAACCACTGCAAAGTTTTCTCTTGACATGGTAAAGCCAAGAGAAGCTCCCCTGCTAGAGCCTTATTTTGTTTCTAAAAGATTAAATCTTACACGTGATGCTGAAGGAATTATACTAGAACAAACGTCCGGGGGCTGAGAACAAACGTTCTGCTTCTGGCCTAACTGCGGCTTTTCCAAGAACATATAAATGCCCGTCAGCAGGCAGCAGTGACAAACGTCTCTTTGTCCCTTTGGCTGCTGTCTCCCCAGCCCGGCGGGGCCGGGAGCCTTTGCAAGAAGGGACGCCGCTCTGCTGCGTCAGCTGCGAAGAAACACGCTCCGCGAGTCGTGACGTGGCAAGCCGTGCCTGGCTTTGCTTCTTCCAAAGCTGGCGGAGCAGCTCTCTGTCCTGCGGTGAAACCTGGGGAGAGGGAGAGAAACGGGGCGGGGAAAGGAGAAAACCTGGTGGCAGATCTCGGTTTGCCATGAGACGACCTGCAGCTCTCACCCTCGTGGCTCGGCAGGGCGGCACGGAGGTTGCGTCTGCACCGTGCCGAACCGGGCATCACCGCCGCGTGCATCTGAGCCCCACCGAAACGTAGCGAATAACATCAGTGCTTTTTTGTGCAAGTCCGTTAGCTTCACCAGGGCAATCCTGTGCTTCAGGAGAGCTACGCGTATAAGTGTTGGCAGGATCTATACCTTACGTTTTAACTTCTCCCTTTCTCTTGCAGACTGACATCGAGGAAGCTCCGGAGGACACGAGAAGTAAGTGCGAGCCCCGACGGCGCGCAGCCTGCCCGCCCTGCGAGAGCGTTCGCTCGTCGTGGGAGGGAAAGCCCCGTCGCCACCGCAGACCTTGACGGCGGGTGTGGGGGGTGGTGCCGGGGGAAAGGGCCCCCCCTTTGACTCCTGGGGCACAAGTGTGGGGTTTGCAGTCCTAATTACTGCGTGTATGTGCTAATTGTGCCCCGCAGCCATTCACGTGCCACAGGCCGTCTGCAGCTCTGCAGGGACGTGCGCTGCAGCCTGGTTTTTTAGGGCAAAACGTGTGCGGAGAGGTAGCCCACAGCTGTTACCTGGGCAAACACGGTATTTATAGTGACAGTGTACCGCTGGGTGTGTACAGGCAAGATCTCTTTTAGAAAGTGGGGAACGATACCTTCTGTTTGGAGAGGTTGAAGTCTTTGGAGTCCGGGACAGCGTGGAAAGGATTGCAAAGTGCAGCGAGTCGGGGCTCTTCCCCCGCCACCTGACAAGTGTGACAGGGAGCGAGAAATCCCAGGGCTCGTGCACGAAGCTTGCAAATGGGATACGTTGGATCGGGGGTGAAGAGCTGCCAGCGTGGAGGAGCTCGCGAGAGGCGCGTCCCGGGGCCGGGCTCCCGCTGTCGCCGCCGCGGGCAGCTGGTGCGCTCGGCCGGAGCCGTGGACGTTTCGTCGCGTGGGTGGGAATCGCTCACGCTGATTTCAGCATCAGCAGCTCATAAAAATAACAGCAAGGGTTTGAATGAAAGTTGGAGGAAGTCCTTTAGGATACTTGCTGATGTCCCCAATGCGGGAATTGCTGCTTGGGTTTTCCAGCCAGTGCCGTGTATTCCAGCAGTCTGCTGAAAATCAGCCTTGATAATCTGTGTTTTGATGCGCAGAGCTCTACAAAGAATATAAAATGCTGAAGCAACACAGAGAGCCATCGGATCTCCCCCAATCCAACCTGCTCTGCCAGCCGCCAGCTAAGGAAACCCCAACCGCGGAGCAGGTACCGTGCTTTAGCCACCCCTTGGTGGGGTTCGTCTCTGGGAGCCCTGACGGGCTCAAACCTGCAGAACTTGCTTTGGCAGTAGTGCTTTGAGGCCTGGGGAGGTTGCAGAATTGGGCCCGAAGTCTGCCTAAGCCAACACGGATGTTTCAGGAAGCCCTTTCTCTGCCAGGACACTGCCCTCCTGCTCTTCCCCACAGTGAGCAGCATCCTGGCTAGTTTTTGCTATTTTTGCACGGATCTCTCTTTTCTAAAGCCGTGATGTGAAAGCTGGTGGGGAATAGGAGGCTTTTCTGCCACGTCCCTCTTAAGCTGCCGTTGCTGCTTATTACCCTGCGGACAAAACTCCGTCGCTTCTGCCTCTTCGCAAGGTGGTTTACTTGACCTTTGAAGGGAAAAGTGTCTTATTAGCGTTGTATGATGCCTATATTTGACTTAGCAGAAGAACAAGAGACTAGAAGCAGAGCCCACTGAGAACATAAGGATGCTGTATTATAAAGGTGGAAAGCCTAATGGCCACAGTCTATTATGCATTTTATAGTCCTAGGCATCTAGTCTGCTGGACAGTCCCATTTTTATCGGGCTCAGTACGCTGCTCTTCTCTTCTCGTGCAGCCCAGGCAGATTAACAGCTGCAGTTTGCGTTGTGGTGAGGTCTTAACAGGCCAACGATCAGGGAAACCCCTGCGCTTGGGGAGGATTCATGTCCCGGGCTGCAAGCTCTTGGAGGGCTGCAAGGTGATATATACTTCAAGGGCTGCCATTTTTCACCCCAAAGCACTACGTTTGGCTGGCGGATAGCACAGTGCAATATATTACCATACAGCAGCTTATTCTCTAGCTCTGCAGCCCCTTTCCCCTCTCAGAAATAACTGGGCACGTCTCCCTGCAACTGGCTTGTGCTCACAGAAAGGCTCCTGCTTGGATTTAGCTGTTTGTTGCGTTATTTCAGGTGCCGGACTCTGGTTGTTGGGGTGCACATCTGAACCGGCAGCCGAAGGCCCCCAGACTGAGCTCCCATGATCAGGACGTGCTGAAAGCCTCTGCGCAGTACTTCGGGATGAAGCTGAAATCTAACCTCGGCGCAGCCATAAAGGTCTGGGCTCACAGGGACCGGCGCTGGGGCGACGGCGGTGCAGGTCTGACAGCGCAGAGGTGCCACGGGCTTGCAAAAGGGAACGCGGACGGGGCTCTTGGGGATGCGACAGCCCGCGTGAGCTGCAGTTGGGTCAAGGTGGTGTTTTGGCTCTAAGCAAGTTGCAAGTCATCGTGGCCTCCACCTTAAAAAAACAGCAGTTGCTGCTCTTGCTCTCAGGGAAACTTCTCGTGCTGGGGAAGCATCTGTAGGAGTCGGTGGCACGCAGTGGAGAGAAGCTCCTGAACCTGTTTGTGACCCTTTTTCCTCAAATGTAGCATACCAGCTGCTTTGTAGGGGAAACCCAGGGAGGTGAATCCTTAACAGGTTTCAGGAGAACCTCAGACCTATGGAGGTGGCAGCAGCCCTGGAGCGATCAGGGCTGCGCTTTGGTTTGTCCACCTACTGCGTCGTGCCACCGTCGATGCTAGACTAGATCTAGCTCTTGTGGGCAATCCCGGTAGGAGGGCTACATGCTCTTCCTCAGAATGGGCTGCAGTCAGCGTTTGCTGGGAGGATCTCTGCGGGATGCAGGCAGGTGGCCCAGGCCGCTTTTTTGAAGAGCGTGGTGAGACCTCTGGCCAGAAGATGCTCTGAGTCACGGTCCCTCCTGCCACAGCTGTCCTTGCCTCTCTGTTAGCGCAGGCCGGGAGCTGGGAGTAGGAAACGCCCACAAATTCAAGCTGTTCTGCGTGCTAAAGAGATGCCGTCCTCATGGCATAGCAGGGTGGGCAAGGCTGTTGCGGGGTTTATAAGGTTTCACAGCTTTGGGGCTTTACGTGCTGCTGATATCCTGCAGCCTGAAAAATGCAGCCAGCCCTGGCAATAGAGCTGGCTCTGCTGGTGAGCTCTCCAGGGGACCCCAAAAGGAGCAAACCTGGGGCTGCTGCTGAAGGTCGTTCCCACGCAGTGGGATTTCCGCAGTACGGAAATCTCGTCCAGTTTGACTCGAAGGTGGGCAATGTCTGGGGTGGGGTGGAGAGCTGCTGAGGCTGTTTCAGAGGCTGTTGGTGCCATCTCCACGTGGGCGGGAGCAGTGTAGGGCCTATTCTGGGAGAGATGACTGAAAACCGCCTGTCGTTTACCTCCAACCACAGGAGAGGCCTCCAGCCCTGAGGAGGACCCTGACTCCGAGGAGGAAACCAGCTGTGCCCAAACCGGAGAAGAGTTTGGAGAGCGGTGACAAGGGTCCATCTCCAAACGTGGCAGCTGGGGAGGCTTTGGAGAGCGACGCAGGAGGTGGTGCTGATCGAGGTGAACTGGAAGATCTCCTCCTTCCTCCCTCTATATCGGGGCTGGCCCCTGTCGTCCTCTCTGCAGGGCTGAAGCCCAGTCCACAGGTGAATAAATTTCAGCAGCTGAAGCAGACGGTGGCCCAGAGATTGGGCTCCCTGGATCCCGGCTGGCTGCAGAGGTGCCAGGGGATGCCCGGTCGCGAAGAGGCAACGCTGGGAGAAGAGAGCCCCTCTACCACGAACGGCAAGGACCGAGAGCAGAGAAAACCAGGCCCTGCCTCGCAGCAGGCTTGCCAGCACTTGCACATCCCTTCTCTCGACCCAGACAGTGGCGCTGAAGCTCGGTGCCCGGAAGGGGAGAATAATCCCCCCGTGAAGAACTTTTTGCCAGAGAGCCGGAAACAGCAGAAAAGGCATGAGCCCTCGAAGGGTGGAAAACGTCGTGACGCAGTGCTGGAGGGGGGTGAGCCCTCTGACCCTGGGGGAGGTGAGCGCCCAGCAGGAGGGGAGGGCAAGCAGGCTGGAAAAGGGAAGAGCGATGGCCTGAACTCAGCGCTTGAGGGTGACCTGGGATTGGTGATCAAAAGGTGCGAGGGTAAGTCGGAGAGCCTCTCTGAAGTCGTCACTCAGCAGGGAGAGCGGGAAGAGGTTGGCAGGGGTCTCCTGGAGCAAGAAGGGGCCGTTGGCGAAACGGAGGATGGACCTGCTCCGTCCAAGAAGGTCAGAGGCTGCAGGAAGAAGAGGCAACGAGACGCTGGAGAAGACGGCGAGGCTGCTGGTCCAGGGGACAGCGCAGCTCCTGCGAAGCTCCGGCGGACGGCTCGATCGGTGACGGGCCGCCAGGGCTCAG